TATATATATATATATACTTTTCTGTAAGTAAAATTTTATTTCTTTTGATTTTTGGGTGAAATGCGACCTGGACATGCTCTGCCAGGATTTCCCTCATGCTCTCTACGGAAGAAAGTAATATCTCAATGTAAATAGGTATATATGTATACATTTCTGTATATATCTCGAGCTATGAAAGAACAACCTCTGATCAATAACGTTTCCTTTTGGGAAGTATATTTGAATATTATAACAGACTAAAGACGGAACTAATCACTAGAAATTCTGAATCCATAGTTCAATAAACTGTGCAAGTACAGAGGATCTTTGTTCCATTTTCCTGCATTCTTTTCAAACATGTGATGTCTTGTCAGCCAGTAGCCGTTAAACAGCACATGTGATATGTATTTCATCTTTTTAAAAAGCCATGTCCTTCTGCTTCCTGTTGTTGTGCTCCTGTACATCACAGTTCCGAACAGCAATATTTAATGTTTACGCACAACATCACATCTCTTTATCCAGACGTCCTTGACAAACATGTCCCAAGCAGTCTGATCAACACCCATCAAGTTGACAGCCAACATAGTAACTTTGCATTGTTTAGGTCACGTCGTCCCAGCAGGCCGAGGGGTCAAGGTTGTGTCTGCTGTGGGTCCGCAGCTGCGAGAGGCCTCTCTGTTTTTCCCAAGACTCTCCGCTGTTGCAGACCTGCCTGGGGACACCATGCAACTCTCCTGAGTCTGCTCCCTTGGCAGTGAGCACCCGTGGGAGGCAGTTTGAGAGATAACGTACCGCTTAAAGATCCCCACATTACCTCACCAGATAAGGCAGAGGGAGGGGATGGAGCCGAGCGGGGTGGACATTGGGCCTTTGGGTGGAGGAGAGGGCCGAACCCCTTCAAGCATTTCGAAGGAAACGCTCAAATGCTGTCATTTACATACTGTTTCGGTGGTCTGGCCGGTGGTTCTCATGGCAGAGCGAGCGCTGGAAGAGGATGTGGCACAGGAGAGGAGAGAGATGGGAAGAAAGAGTGTGCGGACACAGAGATGGACACAACCATGCATGAAACAGGGAACACATCGAGAGCCAAAGAAGTGGGTGAGTGAAGGAAGAAGTGGATGAAGTGGTTTGTGCTCAAAAGGATTTAAACCATTTGGTTATGAAGAAAAATAAGACATCATGAGTTGGGTTTTATTGTGTATCAACATGCGCATCAAAAGTGAATATCATGGCTTTTCACACAGATTAGTTCCAAATTACTTCAGTACAGAATGTTGAATTTTTTTGTATTAATAAATAAATATTATTATAAATAAATATTAACAAATAAAAATAAATAATAAATGATCAATAATATTATGAAATAAATATTATTTCTAAAACTATTACAAATAAAAAAAAATAATTAAAAAAAACGTTGTATTATACTAAAATTTTCTGAAATATTTAATTTTAACTTTTCACTTCTTTGCTGATAATATAATTTATAATGAAAAGTTTGTATTACAATGAAAAAGGCAAAATAAAAGCTTTTTCATCAGTGGTCCATAACAGATTTCAAACCCACTTTAGATTATATTTAAATACTATGTACTAATATTAAAATTAATCTTTTGATACACTAAAAATGTGTAGAAGCAATTTTGTCTCAGAAATAGCTACATTTCACAAAAAAATTACAAAGAAACACCAAGTAACATAAATTAAACATGAAATTTTGAAGTAGAAAAACTAATTATAACTAAGTAAACTAATTAAAAACTAGTATTTTGTTGTAAAATGTAATCCATTAATCTTTATTTTATTTACAACTTTGAAAGAACATTCTTCAAAGTGTACAATGCATTTATGTTGTAGACAAAGGTATTTACATTGTACTTGTATTTTAAAAATACGTTCATATAATTACGGCTGTAATTAATTTTAGTAAATGCATCTGTAATTACACTGTTGACCCCTTAACCACCTTTAAACTAACCCATACCACTAAACCCGTGCCTAACCTACCCGTATTCCACATCAGTAGCAGCAAAAGTGTTTTGCAATCCCACATGAACACAATAAATACATTGTACCTAACAATTATTCTTTTTTGGATAGCATTTATTTTACATTCATGTTCCTTGTGTACACTAATTACAATAACTGGATAATGACTAGGTACTAACCCTGAACCTGAACTTAACCCATGTAGCTGCCTTATACTACAGTACTTTCTTTGGTAAGTACATGTACTGTAAAATAAAGTGTAACCATTTTTTCATTTAACTAGTATAGTTTGATACAACTAGTAATTGAAGATACCTAATATAAAATGGGACCCACCTCTAAAGACTCACAAGACATGGTAAGAAGTTTTCGCTCATTCTTTTTTATTGTCTTAGGTAAGGTCTGGACCGACAACTCCATCCAGAGTATGTAAGACCCAAAACTCTCCTGAGAATGCAGCGAGAGAGAGGAGTCGTGTTCGGAACCTTAGACAAGCCTTCCACAGCCTGCAGGCTGCTTTACCCTCCGTCCCTCCCGACACAAAACTCTCCAAGCTGGACGTCCTGGTACTGGCCACCAACTATATCGCCCACCTGACCGAAACCCTGGACCAGGGTGGGATGTTGGGGGACCATACCATCCTGCAAAGAGCAGAGTACCTGCATCCTGTGAAGGTGAATGTTTGTTAATATTAGGTCAATATGTAATGGAGAACACGGTCAGAAATAGCATGTTACATATCGATATATAGTGCCATCTATTTAAAGTTTTACATTATTGTAACATTTTTTTCTAGGTTTTCTAAGGGATTCAGTATCTTGTGTATTTAATATATACATGAAGAAATAGTGATGGACTTGTCTTCTTTCACAGAAATGGCCCATGCGTTCTCTTCTGTACTGTGGGAACATAGGAGAGCGACTGACAGGAGCACAGATCAGTCAGGAGGCATCTTGCCTGCCGAAGGTTAAAGCAGACTAATGGACTGAGAAGACATTTCAGATACTCAGTAATTGTTGGAAAACACTGATGCATGTTAGAAATTGACCTGAGCACTTTTTTTTGTAAATATGATTCCTTTTTTAGTTATGTCTTGAACATACAAATACTACATAATTTTCCTTTTATTTTGATTAAACACTAGTATATAATTGTGTTTATATATTATTCCACATTTATACTGTAGTCGGTTGTGAGAGAAAATATTGTCTGTGGTAATAGACATCATGACACAGAAACTGTCAATAGAATATTAACATGTATTTTTGAACCATAAAATGCATATGTGGGTCAAAAACACAGAACATTCACTTTTTTAAAAAATATTGTCACATAAAGTGGTCTATTCATTCCCATTCCAGGAATTCCGTAATTAAGTAAAATAATTGTTTTCACAATTTGTTTGGTATTTTTTAAATTAATATTACTATTTAAAAAAAGGTTTAGTAAAAAGAAAGGATGCTATTTCAAGTGAACATGCATGTAAAAAAAACTTAACGTTTTTGGATTTACATATATTAACATATGTTGGATTTTTGACCCACTTGTATACATTCTAGAATAGATACTACCTTTTAATCTAGAATATTCCTTCTTTACGTTCTTACCCATTTAGAGCATAACTAAATTAACAGGTCACTTTATCTCTACTGGCCGTATCTTGACTATTTGGGTTTAATATGCCTGTTTTGTGCTTGATAGTAATAAAATGAATGTTTTGTGGGAAGGGAGGATTATTATAAGGAACACTTGGCAACCACACATGAGTGGAGAACCCCCATGTCCTCTCAATCATGGGTAGCTTAGCAGATCCACACTAAAAACACAGCTTTTTCTTATTTATTTAACTGCACAAATCCCAAATCATTCCAAATTATAAGAGGCAGTATAAAAATAATGTTCTTTTTAGCAACATCATATGACCCCTTTAAGACTTTTTGTGGTCCAGGGTCACAAATATCCTTTATGTATTTAATCCCATTTTATCAATCAATGTCTTTGCTGCTGACCTTCGATGACATACTAAAAAGCAAAAATGCTTATGGTCAAAGCATAATGCTAAAGGTCAAAGATCATCGAAGAACTTCGTTTGAAGTATATCGGGGCCTTTAGTGGAAGCTAGAGATTACGGTTTATAAAGTTTTAAATATGTATATTTTTCTCACAAAAACACATCGATTCCCTTCAGGAGGCCTTTATTCACCCCCATACACTTTTTATGATGGATGGATGCACTTTATTGGACTTCTTTTGGACTATTGATAAATAACACCCATTTACTGCCATTATAAAGCTTGGAAGAGCTAGGACATTTTTTTATATAACTTCGATTGGATTTGTCTGAAAGAAGAAAGTCATATACACCTAGGGTGATGGTGAGTAAATCATGGAGTAATTTTAATTTTGGGGTGAACTATCCCTTTAAAGAATGATTCCATGTCAGCATATTAATGACTCAGAGAATTAAATGCACCATCAACCAGAGATGAATTTATCTTTCCACCCCTCTCACCTCCTCTGCTGGGCTGACTGCGGTCTCCTCTTCTGGCTTGGATTCCTCCTCCGCTTTCTTCTTCTCCTTTTTCTTCTTCTTCTTTGTGGTCTCTGTTTCTGCTTCTCCTGTGATTAATATTTATTTAATGTTCATCTGTATTTAATGTGTGTCTACAACACCAGTTAAGCCACAGTGTTATGCTGTATGGATGTTTACCTTCTGTGGGGGATTCCCTCTTTACTTTCTTTGCTTTAGCCTCCACTGGCTTCTCTTCCTCCTCGCCCTCTTCAATCTTCCTCTTCTTTGACACAGTGGGGAGTGTGGAGTCCCCAGATGGGTCGTATACCTTTACATCACTGGTAGGAAGTAAAAGAACAACTGTAAATCTAAGGCTGTCACAATTCAAGTTTTGCAAGTTATTGAAATAATTGCAATTAATTTTTTCTGTATCAGTAACAGATCTTACAGGCAGAAAGTCAATAAATAGCATATTTTATAAACATAATCTTTAATACTTTAATTTAAAAACAAAAAACAAAATATGAAGTATTTCTGAAAAAATCTCTGTAGCAGTCAAAAGTGAAATCACAGTGCGTTACATTCATAATGCACAATATGCCAAAGACTTTAAGCAAAGTATTTGAGGGCACTAACTGACATGGTTTGAAAATTACAAAAATAATTAACATGGAACTTTAACATTTACTTAATTCACATTTGGATGACAATCTGATGATCTGATGTGTGACTGGAATTAGTTATTTTTTTTTTACTAAAATTACTTATTGTGACAAGCTTCTATAAATCCTTGGTAAATTTTAATAAAAAATAAATAAATAAATACACATACACTAAAATAAGTCTAGAGTAAAATGTTTTTGTTTTTTTATGCTCACCAAGGCTGCATTTATTTAACCAAAATGGAGTAAGAACAGCAATATTCTGAAATATTACTACAATTTAAATAAACTTTTTAAACTTATTTCAGGATTTTTTGATGAAAAGCATCCTTGGTGAATAAAAGTTAATTTCTTTCATAAAAAAAAAAAATCTTACTGTCCCAAACCACTTTAATGGTAGTGCAACCCTCTACATTGCGAGTAAATTACTCGCATATGCGACTAAATCTTCACTCTGGGCGACTAAATGATGTCTAATATCAGCCAATGGCTAATAAATTCTTAGATTTTACTCACCAGTGTGTGAGTTGGAGGCTAAGTATAAGTTTAGCACAGACATATTTTCACTCGCCGACCACTGACTGAGCGCTTCAGAGTTTCTCTCTCCGTCAAGCGTTCTGCGCTATTTTTCAGTTCATCTCAATGGATGCGCAGCGCACCTGTAATTGGCGTACCGTAAATATATATATATATATATATATATATTTATCAGTCTGGCGAGTAAACAAAAAAAATGTACTAGCCAATGGCGATTCAATTGCCAAGGTGTTTGTAGAGGGCTGTAGTGTCAAGTGTTATTGTGAAGTACAATCTAAACATGTGGATGAAGAAACACTCACCTCTTGTGTTGATATTTATCAGCCCTTGCCAGAGCTTTTCCTGACCCGCTGATACGTCTGATCTAGGACAGAAAATAGACAAAACTATTTATCAAGGATTTATCATTCTCACTGCAAATGCAAACACTCACAAGTGTTGCTTTACTTTAGCATGCTTTCCTGTGAAAGAAGTGCTGTATACAACAACTGCATATAAAGAGCAAACAAAACCAAGCTCAGAAGAGATAGTGACTAAATGGCCCACATGGTTTTTTCAGGACTGTGACATGAAGCCATCTTCATCACCGCTTGCGACACATGATCAAAGATAAAAGGTACCCCATATCAACTAACCCCTTTCTCCTCCAGGTAGCGTAATCGCGCCTCCAACTTGGCTCTGTTTTCCACTCCCATCTCCGCATTGGTATCTTCTCCCAGCGCATCGTAACGGATGGCAAGGGCTGATTTAGCAGCCAGCATTCGGGAGATTTTACCCTTATTCTTGGCTGTGGTTTGCCCCACTAGAGAGGCGTGATAGATGAGGCCGTATTTGGGTGTATCCCGGCGGGTTTTCAAAGCACGGAACAGCGCTTTCTCTGCCCCGAGAATCTGTACAGTGGACGCAGGATGCTTGGCCAAGTTCAGCAGAGATCCTGAAGAGCCAAACACAAGAAAAGTTAACAAAAAAATGCAATATTAGACACTGGGTAGAGGTTTCATCAAGTAAATTAACACTTCCAATCACAATCCTTTCCTATCCCGCCCCCAAATCATGCTCACCTGCATGTGAAATGAGACGGGCTCCCACTAGTTCTCCCACCATGACTGTCAGGTTGGGAGCAATTGCCATCATACGATTCTTCAGATAATCATACAGCTGTGAGCGATACTCTGAAATTTCAATCACCTAGAGAATGAGAAAGAGAAAAGAAAATGCATAAATACACTAGAGGTGATAAGTTTTCTTAAAGGGTGGGAATTAACATTAACAATGGAACTACTGTTAAAACTAATTAATGTAAACCAATTAAAAGCAACAAGGTGCTGAAATATCTAAACTTCATTTTTATGTTGAACACACCTGGTCACACAGGTGCATGATGTTGGCAATGTCCTCCTCGGACACCTCTGTTCCCATGGAGATCTCTGCAGCTAGTTTAACCTCTGCCTCAATCTCCTCTGGCAGAATGTCAGACAAATCCATTGACGCCACATTTGTGCGATCACCTAGACATTTGAAAGAAGAAAAATACAGTTCAACATTACATTTTAAATATTTTTGTATACTATTCAAATATTCCTCCCACAAAAAATTAAATAAAAATTAAATAAAAATGTAAAACAAATCCTAAAAATGTATTTCTTATTATTTAATCTTATTTTAAATAGTTCAGCCAAAAAAATAAAAAAATAAAACAAAATAATACAATTTACTCAGGCCAATATACTGGCCAGTAACGACAGCCTGAAGTTAAAGTCTTAATGATGAGGGTTTTTTATTATTATTATTAAGACTTTAACTTCAGGCTGTCGTTACTGGCCAGTATATTGGCCTGAGTAAATTGTATTATTTTGTTTTATTTTTTTATTTTTTTGGCTGAACTATTTAAAATAAGATTAAATAATAAGAAATACATTTTTAGGATTTGTTTTACATTTTTATTTAATTTTTATTTTATTTTTTGTGGGAGGAATATTTGAATAGTATACAAAAATATTTAAAATGTAATGTTGAACTGTATTTTTCTTCTTTCAAATGTCTAGGTGATCGCACAAATGTGGCGTCAATGGATTTGTCTGACATTCTGCCAGAGGAGATTGAGGCAGAGGTTAAACTAGCTGCAGAGATCTCCATGGGAACAGAGGTGTCCGAGGAGGACATTGCCAACATCATGCACCTGTGTGACCAGGTGTGTTCAACATAAAAATGAAGTTTAGATATTTCAGCACCTTGTTGCTTTTAATTGGTTTACATTAATTAGTTTTAACAGTAGTTCCATTGTTAATGTTAATTCCCACCCTTTAAGAGGTAAATTAAAATTTTTGGTTGATCTACCTGATTTATTTCTAATTTTGTTTTCTACTTAATCTGCGACTTTTAGACCTCACCGTTTGGGAGGAAAACTGAAATTAAAAGTTTTTCTTTCCAACAAAAGGGAAAAGCATCTAACAGATCTGATCTAGACATTTTCATAAAATGTTTACAAGCGTGTACTAACCAATCTTGCGGACACTCTTGCAGTATGCCAGGTTATCTGTGATGATCTTGCCAAGCTCTGGAAAATGCCAGCCGTACCATTCCCTGCAGCGCATGATGTAGTTATTGAGCTCCTTATCCAGATCATCCAGCAGAGCTACAGATGTGCAGCAGAGTAAGAGACTGAACCAGGTGTATAGCCGTTTAAGCCACTTCCAATCTATAGTTGGGCTCAAGTATGCACAAATAAATAAAAATATTTCTTACAAATGGCTTGAACAATCATGGTGTCCACCTTGTCTGGGCTGAACTTCAGCTTGTACCGTGAAAGACTGGGAGGAAATATGACAAGAAAACCAGTCAATCACTGTGCAAAACCATGAATGTTGAGAGCAATGTGAATTTCTGCTCAGAGAGTCTCAGTGGTAGTGACAAATGCTGATTAGTATCCTCAGAGAAATCAGTCAGCAAGAAATAATCATTGACATAAATCATGAGATTTATTGTCGATTTGAACTGTAAACTAACCTGTGGGCCAAACCGAGAGACATGGCACTGATCTCTCTGGCAGGAAGACCTGTGATAAGTCCCTCCATCTGATTTCTGATGCCTCTCATGAGCTCAGCCACAGCAGGGCTATGCACACAGCTCAGGTTCAGCTTCTCCTGCAGAGAGGGTAACAAAGAGTCTCAGCTAAAGCAACTTACAGTGTAAAAACAGCAGAGAACTATAATAAGAGTCCTAGACCTGAACTACAATCTTTGCATATTACCAGCCCTGAAGCTTAACCATAAATCAACCACTACCAAATGATTCTTCAAGGGGTAAACACAAGCTCAGATGAGGTAGTGACAAAAAGGCTTCATGATTTTTCAGCAATATGACACAAAGGTCGTCATCATCACAGCTTGGAGGGTTTCATAGTGCAAATATCTTTAACATGATTTCATATGGAAAGCATAAAGCAAACTGCACTGGCTTGTACTTACATTTCCCGCAATATTTAGAAAACTTGCCATTTACCTTAATGACTCCTCCTAATTTAGCATCAGTGATGGCCAGCTGCTCATGAGCCTCTTTGGCCACAACTTTCTTGAGAACTTTTTTCAGACTTTTCCCCAATTTCCCCTCCACCATCGCCGTGGCCGCTGATATTGACATAAGAAAAGAAAATAATTTTAAATGAATGCGTTTTTATTTTTTGTAAATAAATATATTAATGTTGTTTTACATTTTAATCGTATATTTAGAATCAGATAAATGAAGTGAAATCTGTGGTCTCAGTGGTAGTGACGAATTACTGTTTGGCGACCTCATGCTTGAGTCAGACATACAGATACATCACACACACCACTGAATGACAGCCAAACAGCTTTGCATTCATAAATAAAGCACAAATAAAGGATAGCAGGTGTTGATGTTTCAATTCAGCACCTGCAAGAGCTTCTGTTGTATCCTGGAACTTCTCAAAGTGCTTCAGTTTTACACTGAAAGAACATACAAAGAGTGTTACTGATAATGCACAATTGAAAATAAAAATAAATGAAATATTCACAGACTAGGACACAGTGACCAAGATTTTTTTTTTTTAAATGTTCAGCGTTCCCACATATTTCAAACAGGGAAATGCTGTGAGATTCCTAGTTGTTTGCGTTTACCAAGTACAGATTTCAAATAGATTTAAAATGATAAATTTGTCCAAGAAAATATCTTAATTTAAGCGAAAAAGAAATTAGTCACCACAGAAATGTACTTATTTTATTCATTCCAATGACTTGTCTAGTCATGGACAACAGCATCATATATTTCCCGGTTTCCCATGAAAGTGTGAATGCTTAAAATTTGTAGTTCTGCCATAAACAAAATGCTTTCTTATCATGGACATTTCTGAGACAAAAACCAGTAGGAAAATTACATTCACAAAAGTACAACTCACACTTTGTTGGCTTTTTCTGGCGTCTCAAACTCCTTCCACAGGCTGTCCACCTGCTGGAGTTTCTGTTCATCCAGGACCTACACAAAACAAAAAGCTGATCATTAAATAAATATATCTTTCATGACTTGAGATGCCTAAAATTACCATAAAATGACCGACATGAGCGACCATGTGGACCCTTGTACCAGTAGTGACATGCCGCTTTAAATTGTACAGAGCGTCTTTAATAGTAGCATATCTATGTAAAACGGAATTTCTCGGCTATTTAAACATTTCTGACAACTAAATGATATTTTCCACGACTGACTGATTGAAAAATCGTCCTAACGCGAAGAACAGGCAGTGAAGAACTCTCATGAGCAGCCCCGAAGACACAACGTGGCTGTGCCGCATGACACAAGCTGACCAGTAACTTACTGACCTCACTTAAAAATCTGGTTAAATACATAGTTACAAGAAATTCAGCACGTACATTCACGAACGTAGTACTTAAAAGGCTTAACTTGCGACTTTCCGAAAGTCGTTGGTCTGATAGCACTGCTAACTACGCTGGCTAGCTAACAGTAAACCCAAAACCTAAGAATACTTCTGCAAAAAAACATCATGATATCAACTTTAACAACATACCAAATATGCTTACCTTGAAAATGGCATAGCCAGCGGCAGTTTCAAATAACACTAACATTTTGATTTTTTTTTCTAGCTCTAAATAAAGTTCACTGCCGCGCTCCCCACATTGAGAGTCTTCCGCTGAAGCGAGTCGCTCGACGTCGTCCACGCGGCGGTGCGCACATGGGGACAGTGTGAGCATGCGCAGTACTACCAATGAAATGTGCGCATGTACACTCTCGTCTGAACTAGAGGAATCTCATGTTGTTTTCATTGGCATTGCAAGACCACATATACAGACTATGCACTTAAAACACCAACTCCTTACTGTTCATGTTCAGATTTTCAGCTCTGTATGTTTATATTATATTTTAATTATTATAGGTTAATGTTGAATATCTACAATCCAACATAAAAATGGTTGTTTATGTACTATTTGATTTTTTTGTTATTTCGTAACCCTTTTAAAACTCTCGTAAAAAATATTGTAAAGTTGGCTTTGGAACAGTACATGCCTCCCCACGTTTCACCGCAGTATCCAACACTAACCTCGACGAGGGCGAATGGAGCCAATCAGAAAGAGCGTGATGAGAAAAACAACACCGGTTGGGTCAACCAAAGACATATAAATACCTAGACGCCTCATTGGCCGTTTCGGTCCGTTGCTGCGATACGTCAACGCGTCCGCCATATTGGTGCGGGCAAGAGTTCCCTGTAAACAAATGCAACGAACAGGGAGTGCTGCGGTTTTTCTGTACAAAAATATGACAACGTTTGTTTTTATCAACTGATATCAGTGGCTTATGATCTACGTGGTGTACAAAAAAAATCCAGATACTTAAAATCTCGATAGTGAAATTAGATATTAAATAAATTTAACTAAGGAATTACAAAAGCTCACACTTGTGTAAATTAAATATTCTCAAAAAGTATTTTCTGTGTTTAACCTCACCATTTTAGCTTTTCTTGTGCTTCAGGTCAGAACATACCTCGCTCCCTTTGAAATACTGGGAAAACAAATGCCCATCTTAAGTAATAATTTACCAAAATTGAGAAATGGAACAAACTGACAAATACAAATCACACTGGCAGGCTCCTTTCTATATTTTTATAGCACTAAATTGATGCAATTATTTACAGGTACATACTCCAAAACAGACAATAACAAAGATAACTGATGGCTTTATGAAAATACATATGTGATTTGGTACAACAACAGTTCAGCAAATATATTTGTAATATAGTATAAAGTAAGATGCAACAGTAAATAATATATTTACAGTATTATAATATTTTTATAATAATTAAGAATAACATTCAATAAAAAAGTAACAAGTAGTACAATAATATAATAGCATAATAATAGACTGATAATAGGGTATAGCATATAGTATGATACAGAATGCCATGTATGTATAATCCTTTAATTATAGTATGTAAAATACAACAACAACAATAATAATAAATGAATAATAACAAGTAGAATATGGAATATTCTTACCTGTGAAAAGTAATTCCCCGAGACCTATTTTCAATTGTGCGGCGGTTTGTACAGCCCCGAGCAGCACACGACTGAGGCATTTTCTCGAGTCCACTTATGAGAATGATGGAAAAGATGCCCGCACCAAGATGGCGGCGACGTTGACGTACGATCCAGCGGCCAATGAGGCGTCTAGGTATTTATATGTCTATGGGTCAACGACTCAGCGTCATGGGAAGCCCCGCCCCTTTTCCAATGACGCCAACGGCGCAGTGTTGTGAGTCTGCTGGTAGCAAAACCTCACATTACTGCATATTACAGTTCATTATTTAAATCAAGCGATCGTGGTCTTAAGAAGGGCTGTATATTGCGGAGTACCATGTCAGACACGGTGAGTTTAAACCTGTTTTATAGAATCGAACTTGTTTGTGAGAGGAAAACAGAAAGACAGACTTGTCGAAATTGAAAATAAGTGGGCCCATCTTTTAGCCTTGTCTGTGTTTTCATGGCTGGCTGACTATGTGGATGGGAAAGTCATACTGAATAAACAGCTATAGCGTTTTAAACCGTATATTGTCGTTGGTTCCGGAATTTCGTACATTAGTCCCGTTTACTGGGTTTATAAACTTGAAAAAGAGGCGAATTTCTTCCTCAAACCTTTCCCTTAGCCTGGGTGCTAACGTTAGTTAGCTGCTCTGGGCCCTGAAAGTAAAGTTCATGCTGGCTTGAGCTGATGGACCATGCTAAACATTTGAGCCACTGTTTATGCATTACTTTTGTATAATTGAATTATGAAAAGATGTTATATTTGGTCATGTTGTTCTATGTTTGGTGTTGTGGTCGCATTATCAGTCCGCGATGCTTTACTGTAGTAGGTCTGGTTGTATGTTTACAGTCAAAGCACACGAGCACAGCTCATCAGTTTCTTTCACTATAGAATGAAGATGTCAGTAAAGCACTGAGCAAACAAACTGCATCAGGCTGAACAAATTAAAATCAGATCTATTTAATAGTATAATACAGGGGTGGCGAACTCCGGTCCTGGAGAGCCGCAGCCCTGCAGAGTTCAGCTCCAACCCTAATTAAAACTGACCTGCCTGTAGCTTCCTAGTAACCCTTCAGACCTTGATTAGCTTGTTCAGGTGTGTTTGATTAGGGTTGAAGCAAAACTCTGCAGGGCTGCGGCTCTCCAGGACCGACGTTCGCCACCCCTGATATAATATATCCAAGAATTGTTTTACTGAACCCTCACCCATTCATTGCCTTGCATAGGATACAAAACAAGATGTCATATATAATCTAATGGCTCTCGTTTTGCTTTACTAGGAGACCAAGCCCTCAAGTGATGGAGGCGAGAAGAAAGATGGAGAATATATTAAACTGAAAGTGATCGGTCAGGTAAAGAGAGGCATACTTTTGCCAGTTCACCATGAAGTTCAGGTTATCAGATCCCATTTGGGTAATCTTGCCAAAATGTATGATTTCATTCCCTTTTGCAGGACAACAGCGAAATTCACTTCAAAGTGAAGATGACGACACATTTAAAGAAGCTGAAGGAATCCTACAGTCAGAGACAGGTGAGTCATCACTAGCACACACTTGATCAGTTTTTTCAGGGATTTTCTATTTTATTTATTTATTGAAATTGAACTTATTCCTATTATTTGCTTCAAAGCTGAATTTTCAGCAGCCATTACACCAGTCTTCAGTGTTGATCAATTTAATAACCCCATTAATGAACATTAATGTTAATGTCTAAATCAAAGCACTCAGGGTTCCTACACTGTATGGAATTTGATTATTTGTGATTTCCAGGTCTGGATAAGTATGGAGCATTATGTGTGTTTCTTTAGAGTCTAAAGGCCCGTTCACACCAAGCACGATAACTATAAAGATAACGATAAATATATAGTTCTAAAAATCGTTCTCAATATTAAAGAATAGCATAGTTCACACCACAACTATAACGATAACGATATCGTTGTGATCACTTTCAAAACGATAAAACACTGACAGCCAATCAGAATCCATCCTGCTGTAACGAGCTCAAGAATTTAAAGCGGCAGACGCATGTGCGCTTAGAATAAACAGACGATATCGTTTGCTGGTGTGGATGCTAATATCGTTATCTTTATAGTTATCTTTATAGTTATCGTTCTTGGTGTGAACGGGGCTTAAGAGTCTTTTTTTGAACTTCATTAATACTTTATGGATGAGGACTTGAATGTAGTGATAATGCCTTGTAATGTTTTTATCATTAAATTCATAGTTTAGCCAACATTATTATACTGTATAGCATATACTGCCAGAGTGCCAATATTATTTTGTAACTTATAAATTGAAAGTATTTAAAATGTATGTGGTCAGTGAAAGTGTAGAAGTATATAAAACATAATCTTGTAAATTAGCATTGCAGTTTTAATAACATGCTGAACATTGAACATATTTGTTTTTGGAGTTAATTGATTTGCATGAACTACAGAAACTAGCTACAATATTTCCGCAATTATTTGGCAACAGAATAGCATGCATAGTCAGGGTGATACATACACATTAACAGTTGGAATTTAAAATCATTAAACAGATGTTCAGTATAGTCTGAAAAATCTACAGAGGAGTCTGGAAAAGTATGGAATTTTGAAATGAAATGTAAAATGTGCTGTAGGAACCCTGAGCACTGCAGTAGACATGACATAAATTTAGATATTAGATATTAGATATTTTTTTCAGCCTCTTGCAGTTGTAATTTCCGGTTTTGATGTTGTTTGTTTTTCTATTTTATGCAGGGAGTACCCATGAACTCTCTAAGGTTTCTTTTCGAGGGACAGAGAATTGCAGATATCCAGACCCCCAAAGAGGTACAGTACATACTTCCATGAGTAAAACTGCAACAGGTAAATGGAAGAGAACCAAAATTCCCTATTGTTTTTGATGGCAAAGGCCATGCATCCAATCAATACAAAAACAAATATTTAATTTTAATGATATTTTTGTTTACACTTGCAACAAAACTTTTCCGACTTTTGGTTCACCACATATTATCAGATGTAAAATCTGGGTGCTGAAATGCTCATTTATATTATAAAGCTTTTACAAAAAGGTCTGTTTCAAATAAATGCTGTTCTTTTGACCTTTATTTTTATCAAATAATCCTGAAAATGAACAGGTTTCCACAAAAATATAGAGCAGCACAACTGTTTTCAACATTTATAATAATAAGAAATGTTTTTTTGAGCAACAAATCAACACAATTCTCAATCGACTGGAATAATGGCTGCTGAAAATTCAGCTTCACCATCACAGATATAAATTACATTTTAAAATATATGAAAATAGGAAAATGATTTTACATTGTAATAATATTTCACAATAAATATGTTGTACTGTATACAAATAAAATGCTGCCTTGGTGAGCATAAGAGACTTCTTTCAAAAACTTAAAATCTTAACGACCCAAAACTTTTGAACTGTAGTGAATAAACTTCATGCCCACTTTTTCTCCAATAACTGGATATCTCAGAATAATAGTGTCTAGCAGAGATTGGTGGGATGGAGTTCTCAAATATGCAAACAAGGCATTTTTAGCAATTATTATATAATTATTACTAAGTGTTATATTTATAGTTATTATAAAAGATCTGCACCACCACTTTCAGTTGAATAGAAATCTAATTCGGATTGCGCTCAGACGACTATTTTTTTCCCTATTGAGTTGTTCACATTAAGGCTTTTCTGACTGAGCTAATT